AAGAAATATGAGAATTGCCATTGCCATTCTAACCAGGATATACAGTAACTGCTTATTAAAATAAGTTTGATATGCTCAGGAGACTTCAAGAGGCTACCTGAACTGACAACTGTTTCTTTTCTGGCCTCTATGAGAATAGAATTATGAAGCAATGGATCACGGATTAGTCATTTCCTTCAGTTACAGACTAAACTGATAATGCAAGTTATCAAATGTCTTAAATAAACAAACATGGGCATTAGCTTTGTGCTAATTATGCATAGTGATCAACATTATGCTAATTATGCATCAGAATAGGACCCCCATGGTCCTCCAGATATTGCTTAACTAGATTTCTGAGCACCTGTTAGTTTGGGTCACAGTGCCTGGGACTGGTAGGAATTGTATTCAGTAATATCAGAAGGCGTAATAGGTAATCTGACCAATTGTTAATCTTTTAAGAAATGTTAGTAAGCCCATTATTGGTCGAGGCACGGTATCCACACACAAAAGCAAGCCCTGATATGCTAGAAGCTTTCAATGTTTTTCCTAAACTGTTTATCAAAAAGGTATTGTTCCACACCTCCTCTCTCTAAGCCTCTGGGCTAATTCAATCTCCATTACCAAGCTAATAACGCCTCTTGAGAAGATCTGGATTTTGTTTTGGCAGGTGGCTCTTGCCTATGGCCATTGTGTACTGTGACCAATTTGCAATTCAATCCACATTTATTATGCTGTTACTTCACCAACCTCTGGCAGCATTGCAATGATATTGTTGACAATCCACTTAGGTGAATTGTTACGTGATATTTCATCATGTGCAGAACTCTCTGGATTCACTCAGTCTAAATTTTCAGGACATTTAATCAAAAAAAGCAAACTAAATTAAAAGGCATGCATTAGGCTCCCTCTGCCTCTAAGTAAATATTGGCTTTGAAAAAGCTGCTATGAAGGGAAGATTAGAAAAACAGTGCATGTGTTTCCACTCCCAATTTATCCCACTATCAATTGCTGTTACCAAACTAATTTCTCCCTGTTCCCATGGACTCCAATAAGGCAGGCATGTCAAACTGCCAGCCTGCGGGCTGGATGCGTCACGCCGAAACCGCGCCCACCCTATTGCTGGCAATGGGGAAAAAGTTGCGATATGTCGCGCAACGTCACATGATGTCGCGAGTTTGACATACCTGCAATAAGGCATTTCCTCTCACATAAACCCATATTATCCCTCAAACATGTGGACAATTAGGGAATGATAACATATCACCAACATGTTATGTACCCAAAGCTTTGATATAATGCCAACTCAGTGGCCTAAACTGCCAAGTAGATTGGCTTTTAAGTTTCTACTGTTGGAATTCATTGGCATCTATTTCATTTGTGAAGTGTCTTAAACATTTCACACCAAGATGTCTACTGGTTTAAGTAGCATTGTCATATAATGTATAACTTATTATAACATACACTACAAGGTAAGGAAAGTCTCATCAGTCAATAAATGATCTAAAGGAGACCGTCACAAAATGTTCCTATCCTTCAAAGGTTCAAACAAGTTTAGAAGAGAATGGCAACCAACTTGACCATCTGATGTAATTTAAATAACAAACTGTCTGTGCGGCCTGACTTTTAGTACACCGTCTATTGCATACTAATTTACTAATGTTTGTATACTGTGGCTGGCAGGCAGTCTGGAGGCCTCAGAATGGTTTGAAATTACATTAAACAATCCCACAACGTTGTCAGTTTTTCCCTCTTGCAAGTGATTCATCTTTTATATGCATCACTGTCATGGCAATAAGATTACAAAGCTTGTTTGCATACTGCAGTATTCCTCAAATTTTCTGTTTCTACAAGTTGTGGTAAGATCTTACAAAAATCAGGAAATTATTTTATCTATTTATAATATTCTACTCCTACTTTCCACTGAGGAAGGCAGGGTACATTAACCCTATCCCTTCCTCTTCTGCTCACCGCCAGCATTGGAACTGTGCATTATAGCTTTGAAAGCTAAGAACCGTGCTGGAATTACTCATTGACCTTCAGGACTGATTTCAGTTTCGAACTTCAGTCTCCAGCATCCTAGGCTAGCATTCTGAATTGCTATATTATGCTGGTTCAAGACTATGATTGGAGCTCTCATATCTTGTATAAATGGGTTGTCTGGTTTGGGCTTCCTTTGTTGAGGGAAGCTTGTTAATGTGATTTGCAAATACTGGTTATATCTTAATGTGGAATATTTATTAAATTTATGTCATTTATCTCACTGTCATGTGACTCTGGGCAGCTTACACCATCATAAAAGGACAATATAAAATAATGAAAGCATTAAAAACAATATATTTATATAGCCTCCCATCTTTAAACCAACTCAGAACACATTAAAACAAAATAATAATAATAATAATAATTTGGAAGGGACCTTGGATGTCATCTAGTCTAACCCCCTGCTCAGGCAGGAAATCCTATACCATTTCAGACAAATGGCTGTCCAGTCTCTTCTTAAAAACTTCCAGTGTTGGTGCATTCACAGCTTCTGGCGGCAGGTTGCTCCACTGATTAATTGTTCTGTCAGGAGATTTATCCTTAGTTCTAGGTACTTTGGAGAATAGCTTGACTCCTTCTTTTGTGGCAACCCCTGAAATATTGGAATACTGCTATCATGTCATTCTCTTCGTTAGACTAAACATATCCAATTCCAGCAACCGTTCCTTATATGTTTTAGCCTCTAGTCCCCTAATCATCTTTGTTGCTCTTCTCTGTACTCTAGAGTCTCCACATCTTTTTTACATTGTGGTGACCAAAACTGGATGCAGTATTCCAAGTGTGGCCTTACCAAGGCATTATAAAGTGGTATTAACACTTCACGTGATTAGATAACCTATATTGTCATTTTTTTCCCCTGTGGGCACAACGACACATATTAAAAATGAAATTTAGTTGCTTGCTCTCAAAGTGTACACATACATAACACACATTTAAAACATACTATATGTTATATCGGGGTGTCAAACTGCCAGCCCGCGGGCCGGTTTCATCATACCGGAGCCGCGCCCACCCCATTGCCGGCAATGGCAAAAAAGCTCCGATACGTCACGTGACGTCACATGATGTCGCGAGTTTGACATGCCTGTGTTATATGATCTTGATTCTATCTCTCTGTTAATGCAGCCTAGCACTGTGTTGGCTTTTTTGGCAGCTGCAACACACTGCTGGCTCTTATTTAAGTGATTGTCCACTAGGATTCCAAGATCCCTCTCACAGTTACTATTACTGAGCAAGGTGCCACCTATACTATATCTGTGCATTTGGTTTTTCTTGCCTTGCCTAAATGTAGAACTTTACTTTTTTCACATTGAATTTCATTTTGTTAGATATGAAGAGACTGGGCAGATTTATTGAGCATAGGTTTATCTTTCTCTCTCACACACACACTTTTTTGGATACCTTGTAATGTTGACCCCATGGTGACTGACTGGATCAATCCCTGCAATTTTCTTGGCAAGATTTCATTAGTGGTTGCCATTGCTTGCTTCCTAGGGCTGAGAGAGAGGGACTGGCCCAAGGTCACCCAGCTGGCTTCATACCTAAGGGGAGACTACAATTCTCTGGCTTCTAGACTGATACCTGCCCCAAACTGGCTCTCACCCACCCTATCTAGCTCTTTACAAAGAATGAGCCATATATGGAGGGCTTGAAATTGAACAGCATTGCTTTCAGTTCAGTTTACTTCTGAAAGGTATCATTTCAAGTTTTTTTTTAAAAAAGCTCCTTCCAGCTTTAAGGAATGTGGAGATATAATTTATATGGGATGAGATACCGGCACCTGCTTGAGAAGCAAATATCTGCATCCACTGGCTCTTTCAGAAGCTCAGCTGGCTCATCCAGGAACCTTCCAAAGCTAAGTCCTATCAGCTGTCCAAGAGGCCACACCAAAGGTCCTGGGCTGGCCTTTTTTTGTGGACAACTCACTTGCCCTTGGCAATGGTGCTTCTTTCAGGCCTCCATTCCCTTCAGGGTGAAAGCGGCCAAGTTAATGTTAGCTCAGAGAATAAATCATTTCTCTTCATCATTCTCATCTTCGCCTCAGCGGACGCCCAGGTCCAGTGACAATCTGCTCGACCAGAGAAGCAAGGCACGTGGGCAAGAAGCAGCTGCCTCCACCATTGTGTATATTTATTGTGGTTTTTTATTATTTATTTATTTATTTTATTAAATTTATATCCCGCCCTTCTCCTTGCGGACTCAGGGCGGCTAACAATCGATTAAAAAATACACAGATAACAATTACAGGATTAAAATTAATTAAAAGGAAATATTTAAGTATGATCTAATTAAAATATAATTAAAACCCCCTCTAAAAATTACCCTAGGCCAGTCCTGCAAGCTGGAATAACCATGTCTTAAGGGCGCGGCGGAAGGAAGGGAGATCAGGTATCGCCTGTTCACCGCCCTGAGTCCCGTAAGGGAGATAGGGCGGTATATAAATTCAATCAATCAATCAATCAATCAATCAATAAATTGTGCGTGGAAGTCTAAAAAGGGCAAAGAGCCAAAAAAAAAAAAAAAAAAAAAAGGAATCGCACCCCTCCCTGCCCGTTTAAGGAGAGGAACCGGGGAAAGCAGCTGCAAACAGCTGCCGCTGACTTATCCCTGGACCCTCTGGAGTCGGTCCCAATCCCACCCCATCACATCCCCCCCGCCGCTTCTTGGCACTTAGATTAGCTTTGCCTTGCAAAGAACGGCTCCTGCCGCTTCCGCGCGCTCTCCCGCCTCCTCCGGGCGTCCAGGCTGGCCACAAGAAAAGGCCTCCGGCTGCCACCCAAATAACCCCCCGCCCCCCCCCCCCAGCGGACGAGATGGGGCGAATTGGCGGGGCTTCCCTCCTCCCGGCAAGCCAGTCCCGGCGATCTGGGCTCCGCAAAGGAGGAGGGGCTTTCCCTAAGCTGCCTTCCTCCTCTCGAGGCCAGCCAGTGGCTCGGGAGGAATGGGGCGGGGCAGCCGGCGGTTTCCCGGCAGTCTGGGACGTAGGAAGAACGGAGGGCCGAGAAAGCGGCTGGCTGGGCGCGGGGAAGTTCAGTGGGCGGCGGCGGCGGACGATCGGGAGCCTTCGACGCCGCGCCCCAGCTAGCTCGGTCGGTCTAGGAACGGGGAGTTTTAAGACGCTGCGCTGCTCCTGCTGGCTGCCGTGGCCGGCGCCGGTCCCCATGGAAGTCGAGATGCCGCAGGTGAGTTCCAGCACCTCGCGGGCAGAGCGTCGGTATCGAGGCGGACATTTTCCCAGCGGAGCGGGGGGGGGTGTTTGGGGAGTGGGGTGGGGAAGACGGCGTAGCCAGCGAATGTAGTTCTCTGAGTTGGACCCAGAGGTCGCGTTAAGCAGAAGAGGTGCCGCCCACTCTTCCCCCTCCCCCCCCCCGCCGCGACTAACTCTGGACTCTCTGGCTTCAGCTAGCTCCGCCCTCCTGTGGTGACGTAAAAATCACGTTGCACCGCGCTGACTCATCGACGCCTCTACCGGTCTCGTCGGCGAGTGGGGGCGGGGGAGGTTGGAGGAGTGGGAAAGGCTTTGGGACTGCGTAGACTTTAGAATAGAATCGAGCTGGAAGGAGCCTTGGCGGTCTTCTAGTCCAGGGGTAGTCAACCTTGGCTCTTTTATGACTCGTGGACTTCAAATCCCAGAATTCCTGAGCCAGCACAGCTGGCTCAGGAATTCTGGGATTTGAAGTCCACGAGTCATAAAAGAGCCAAGGTTGACTACCCCTGTTCTAGTCCAGCCCCCCCCCCCGCTCAAGCAGGAGACCCTATACCATTTCAGACAAGTGGCTGTCCAATCTCTTCTTAAAAACCTCCAGTGATGAAGCACTCACAGCTTCTGTGGATGAAGCAGCAGGCCCCGACGTATTGTTTTAATGCAGTGGTTCTCAACCTTTTTAATGCCGCGACCCCCCAACCGGTTGTAAGTCGAGGACTAAACCGGTCGTACGTCGAGGACTTTCCCTGCCCGGGAGTGCCGCGCATGCGTGGTTCTGCCCCCTGCGCCGGCCGAGGCGTAGCTGGCAAGCGGCAGAGACGGAGCAGGCCGACCACCAGCTGGCCCAGCCCAAGGGAGGTAAGGCACCTGCCGGAAAAAGGGGGAAAAAATGGCAGACAAAAAAAATGGCAGACAGCCTTGCTTGGCGACCCCCATGAAATGGTCGATCGACCCCAAATGGGGTCCCGACCCACAGGTTGAGAACCACTGTTTTAATGCGTTTGTGTCCCCCTCCAGTCCTTCATTTCTAGCGATACCTGCAGTTGGGATTTTAAGATGTACAGCTTTTTTTTTCTCTCCTCCAAATAACTGCAAAAGTGAGGACTGAGAACAAGGTTGGCTGCGGTTCCAGGAAACTTGACAGCAAAGCAGAGTTCGTTTTAGAGTTTACACAACTATAGAAAGCCGCGTCTTTCATATTGTGGTGGACAATTCACGGCTTATATGGTGACTTGTAGGGCTACCGTTCTTCTGAATCGCTGGCCTGCACCTTAGAGTCCAACTCCTGGGTTGGTACAGCAGGGAAAGTCTTACTGTAAATTCCTCTCCCATGTTACATAATGAACGTCCTGAAGCTTCTGATAGCCAGCTTGTGACTAAAGGGAACTTTGGCTAGATCTAGCTAGATCTAGCAGAGCTCTAACTGTGTTCCTAGTTTCAGCCCTGAGCTTTCCTCCCCCCACCCCAGATCTGGAACTTTCTGGTAAAAGTTGATAGAAACGACTTGGGCTAAATATCTTTAGGCAATTTGCAATTTCAAAGTCCTTCAAAGAGCAGAAAGGGGAAAAGAGTCACCCAAATCCTGGTGAATTTTTTTTTGTCTTGGGTTATGTATGTGCATGATTAAAGGAGGTTTTCCATATGAATGCTTGTGATGTATTTAATTATAATGGCTTTAATTTGGAAGATCCAGAGCGCCATGTGCGTGAAATTACTATAAAAAAGGAAAAAGCAGGCATTTTGTAAATACTACATATGAGTTTATTTTGCCATTGTGAAATGGATCAGGAACCAGATACATGTCTGTACATGCTCAAAGGCTAGAAATGGATTTAAAGTTGTATTTCCCCATGTCAGAATTTACTTGAATGTAAATGTGCTACTTTGCCTTATGTGTACAAATATCCAAAACATTTATTTAAAATACTTTCTAGTGACATGATTAGTCTGAACATAATAAAAAGTATATTCTGCTTTTTTCAGTAAAGTAAATTTTATAATCCATTGCATGTTTACTCAGATGTAAGTCCTATTATGTAATGTCTCCCCAGAGGGGAACCTTAATGCTAATGTCAGAAATAACATAGTTTATTCAAAGGATTTTTTTGATAAAACTAATCTAAAATAAAATCAATATAGATGGGCCTTATGAAAAAGCAAAGAAAAACAAGCAAAATTCAGTTAAAATATTCTAAAATTTTTAATAAAAAAATAAATATTCACAGCTAGATTCCAGATGTGTATTTCTGCAAAGGGGTGTCTTCTATTCATGGAGATCCATGAGAGTCTCTTCATCAGAGGAAGTTCAGAAGAAAAGTTTGTTGTTGCTATTGCTATCAAATTCCTTATATTACCACCTCCCACTGGAGACTGATTTAGCTGTCTGGAATACCCTTTCAGGATTTTGGAAAGTTCCAAGGAGGATGAGGAATTGGCAAAAGTCAACTGCCTCCTTTTTTCTATGCACAGAATCTGAAGTCAACCATAGAAATGCTGAAATATCAGATATTAAATCTTGGAGAAGTAAATTGTATTACTTTCTCATCAAAGTGATAAAAGTGTTGCTAACTTGCTTGCCTGGGGAAGATATTTCATAAACATAGGTGCCTCAATGAAAATGAACTTTCCTTAAATCACCATAGATCTAATCTCTGAATCCTTAAAAGTGTATTTTATGCCAGTTGTCAAGCATCAAATATACAAATTAGTAGAACTGTCATTAAAAAAAATTCCCTATAAGCCTTGAGAAATTTTGCCTTAAATTCTGAGATTCTCTTATGAATACACATTCAAAAATGCCAATTACTTGTTTGTCCTCGATAACCATATTCTTAAAAGTTTGCATGCAATGTGGAACATGTCTGTTAAACCTGTGTTTAAAGAATAGTATTAAGTCTAAAAACTGAATATATCTCCTGTCTCCAAAATCAGATAAACTGCAAATAGGTATATAATGCTCAGGAAGGAACAGAAGGATTTTTTTTTACATCATTCTTATTTCCCCAGATTGAGGTCTTTTTAAAAGGATAGGGTAGTGTTTTCTATCTCCTGTATTCTCAAGAATGGGGACAAGCAATGCTATAGTTAGATTTTTATAGTTTGCTTGAATACAAGGCTGATATACATGTAAATGGTGTAGGTTTTCCTGCCTGAGCAGGGGGTGGACTCCAAAGACCTCCAAAGTCCCTTCCTTTTCTGTTATTCTGTACTTTTACAATCTATAAAGGAGAATTTGGTCTGTCACTGATTTACACTTTAAAGAGTAGTATGGGATACATAGATTATAATAAAATTCTATTGGTATTTCTCCATTACCACCTGATTGTGCATCTGGTCTCTTAAGACTTGGCCTTCTGGACCTTCGATTTTATGGTATTGTTAATTATCTACTTACCTCTAAGTACAACAATTGCCACTCTCAATTGTTCTATGGGAAGCCAAGTATGGTGATAAATAAGGAGAGATAGTTTACAATTAATAGCTTTGCTATTTCAAACGAACACTAAATATATTAATATTATGCACACAGAAAGATAACAGTATCTACTGGGTAAGGGAGTAGCCATGATGTATTTAGGTAAATATGTTCCTGGCTACGGAATGGTTATGGTTTGCAATATTGTATTGACTTGGAAAAGACATGTAGCAAAAGCGGTCAGCTCAGTGAAATTGAAGATCTCAATGGTTGCTCCCACCTGCCTCAATTCAGGAGTAGTACCCACCAGTGCTGTTTACAGGTTGCCCTTTTTGTGCTAACAACTCTTGAGCAGACTTGTGTAGCTCAGAAATTTGGTCTTGCTGGAAGTAGAACCTGTACCACAACTTTGCGTGTTGGATGGGGAAATTGGAAAAACAAAAAACCATTTCTGTATTGCTATCAGTTCCCCCTCCCCCCTTGAATGTGTCCATGAAGTCACCAAAAATCAACTTAAAAGAGACTTAACTTTTGTGGAAAATAAAATATCTTTTTAAGCTTGTACTTGTATTAACTGCACGAGGCAAAGAACTTGCCTGATTAATTTGTGATGAGGCCCTTGCAGTTTTGAGAGTCATTATTTTGTCCATGCTGTGGATATTTGTTCTGGCATTCAGAAAAGTAATAAATACAAAAGGAGAGGCTTTTCTTTCTGTGGCAATTTTATTAAACAGAAGATTCTGATATGAACTTGATCCTCTAGGGCAAGACAAGCTGAGTCATGTGGATTTATACATTCATTTTTGGACTCTTATGAAAGGCAGTTGCCAGGAGTCAACACTGACTTGAAGGCATAAAACAAAACCAAGTTATGCCCAGTTTGTAGATGCTTTGTGCAGAGCAAAAATAAAGCTGTGGCTTAAGACTGAAGAACTATTTGATTGCATTGCAGTGTTACATTGGTCTGGCAGGTAAATAAAATTGTGGACAATTTTGTGGACCAGCACCAGTCCACAGCATGCCAGAAACCAATCCGTGCAAACAAGCAAAGCCCCATCCGTACGAAAACACGCACCCTCTGGTCTGCAGAAAAACCTCTCTCCACAGAACTGGTCTCTGGTGCCCAAAAGGTTGGGGGCTGCTGCTGTATAGAGAAGACATGAATTTTGGCCCTGAAAACAGGATTATATACTGGGTGAGCAGAATATTACTACTGTGACTTTAAACTATAGTGGCTACATTCACACTTTATGCTGAATCGAAAAAGGTTTATTTGGCTTTGGCTGAACATATCCAAGGTTGGTATTTATCAGATACATTACACTAAATTGTATCAACCATGGTTTGTTGAATAGAGGGAATTGCCCATTGGGCTAAGCTATATATATACCTTTGACAGTATACTAATTACATTTGCAAGCAGCCAAATCATTACATTTGCAAGCAGCCAACATAACATTCAAACCTGAAACAAGAGTAAAATTGTGGCTAAGGTAGAGGTATGCAAAATGTTCTCTCAACCTGCAATGTCTCTTGTTCTGCTTTTCCCACCATCTGTGAAC